ATCAGAAAGATTTTTCTTCAAGATTATCTGGGCATTTTTTCAAAGTTAAGCTTATTTGCAGCAAAGATGCAGGTTCGATGCTTTCTTTTGCTTTTCTTTTTGCTTTCTTCAGGACTGTGTTCTCATCTTCAATCTTCTGCTCATTTTCACTTCTGATCAAGCATTGAACATTGCACTGATGAAGAGGTGAATAAGGGAGCACAACACTAAAATGACTTCATGTGGTTAATATAGTCAGATGCAGCGTATGTGCACACAATTAGCGCTGCCTAAAAATAGTCTTTGTTGTGAACAGGGCCATGCTATAATTTGTCTGATCTGGCTGCTCCTTCTGGATGTACCTGGCTCTGCTCTGCTCTTGGCTGATCTTCGACATCAGAAAGCTCAGAAAGAGCCATTGTACCAGAGGAGGTTTGATGGAAAGAAAGCTTATAGCCACTTTGTCCCTTCTGGAATTTCTTTCAAAATCCATTGCAGGTTAATTCAAATTAGCTGCAATATTAAATTCCATATGAAGAAATAGTGCTTATCTAGACTCTGCTAAAAATTACCCTTTCTGGAAGAAAGTGTATGTATAATTGTTCATTTGAATGTAATTTGTAAGTTTTTGATGACTGTTGGTCCATATCCAGATAGGAGAGGGAAAAGTCCTGCAAATTATTATAAAGATAAATGCATTCTGTCTCACTTGTTTCTGGCTACCATTGAAGTACAATTTTTGGACCTGATAAATAAATCATTTCTCAGTGCTACTTACGTGGCCACACTGACTGCCACTGTCCATGGGGATGGACTTTTATTCTGCTGCGTCAAGAGGGTGGATTTGTCTGGCAGACAGCTCTGCCAGAAACAAGTAATTTTTGCTCTGAGACTTTAAGCAGACATGTGATGAGGGGAAGCACGGGCACAGGTGTACCCACTAGAGCTGTGGGAACAACCTGAATCAGCACTGAGCTCTTCATCTTGGCTATGGCCAAGGAGCATGGATGTACCCCCGGGCTAGAAGCACTCTCTGGCTGTCCCCAGGCTGTGATGGGTAGGGCCAGCCCCTGGAGCTCTCAGCAGCTCTGGGTCAAACCATGCTCCTGAGACTTTATTTCTCTGCACTGAAGTTGTTTCTCATAACCTTCCTTGAGGCTACTCTTCCCTTGAGGTCTCCCATGGAGGGATATGGGCTTAGTCAGTTTTGGCCACCCTGCAGAAGGGCTGGGTGGTCTCAGGCTGCCTGAGATCCTGTAGGGATGCCTGTCCCTCTCTCTTCAATGGGAAGGCAGCGACTCCCTGGCAGGCATTGCCTTCACTCTTTTCTTCATGCAGAGAGAAAACCCGTGAGCCCAAGAGCATCATAGCTCACTGCCTCCCTGCACTCCATGTGCCATGGGTGCTCTCATCCCCCACCTTTTTTTGCTGTGGCCATGAGATGTTTAAAAAGAAAAAAAAAAAAAAAAGGACTAAGACTCCGTTTTTCCTTTCAAGATACAGCAGGGGATTGAGTTTGGAGCTGCGTCCCTGGGAGGGTGTTCTGATTGCTTCTTCAACTTCTGTTTATACAATTTTACAAAATTTTGGCAGGAATCAAGAGCACATACCAGGGTGTTGGCTTTTATGAATCTCATGGGATGTGAAAGTCAAGCTGACTGGATGAACTTTGGTTACATATTCCAGACAAGCACAATGACTCTATTTATTCAGACTTGGCAGCCAGAACGCAGATTGACTCTGTGGGTAATAAATTTTCACAGCCACAAAACTTCAGCGGCAACCAACCTGATCCTGCACAGAAAAAATGCATGCAAGGAAGCAGACTGGGGCTGCAAAAATATGTTAGATTATTATTCCATGTATGTGTACCAGTCAGTTAATTTATTTGGCTATTGATTGACAAGAATTGCACAAATGAATCCAGGGATCTTTTTCCCCTTAAAGGAACTACTTGCTATTACAAAATTCTCATATTGTAAAAGGACGAGTAGAGGGAAAAGAATTGTTCATGTTACAATTGACAATCTCCTTTTAATATTTCACCCAAGACTGATTTAAGTTATCCAGTGACCTCTACAGAGAAGAGCAGGGTATTATAATGGGGACTGCTTCATGTGCTGTGCCACACTTCAAGGAACCTGAAGGCAATAACCACTACAATTCAGCATTCTGAACAATCTTAAGTACAATTTTGACATCTTCATGCTACAAAGCTTCAGATGCTTTCTGGGAGAGATGATGGTGAAATTATTACACTGTGCTATAAATCAAAATGAATTGGCTCTTTAACTTGCAGATTTATGTTAACCACCTTGGTATCTGTTAATTGCTTGCTGTTCAGATATTGATTGGGGATTAAAAAGTATATTTTCTTCAATCTGTGTGATGTAAAATATGCCAACAAGAAATTTTCCCTCTGCATATTAGATCCTATGATCACTGCCTGTAAAATTAAAATGATCAGTTTAAATGGATAAACTACGCTCATTAAAGAGGAAAAATACATTTATGTAATTAAAATTAAGAGACTAATATGTGTGGATAATGTCATTACTGTGGGCATACACACACTCGGCTCAAACCCAACCTCTTTTACCTCTCCTGGGTCTATGAATCTTGCTACCTTAATTGCTGGCATGGAGGGAACATTTGGGATCCCGAGGCTCTTCATCATGTGTCTGTCTTGCATTTGGCCTCTCTTGCCCATTGCTCACATTCTCTGGGTCAGGCACAGCCCTCCAAATACCAGCCGTAGGACTGGGGTAGCACCTGTCCCTGTCTGCACTCCTGCAGAGACTTTCCATTTGCTGCCTGGCAATTTCAAATCCATGCACAAAATTGCCTTCTAGGTTTTCAATTTTTTTTTTACCCCAAACTTCCTCATCTAGGAATTAACAAAAAGAAAAGCTTCCCAGTTCTTGCACAGTTCATCTTCAGCTATTTAAGAAATTGGACTGCTTAAATGAGTGTGATTGCTGAAAGGTCAATTAATTCAGTAAGGAATATCTGAGAATTACTCATGTATGGTTCCTATCCCTTCATCTTTGATTTCCTTCTTTCCTGCTCCTGAGCTCAGGAAGAGATTTGAGATTAAAGAGCTTCAGAATTAAAAAGTGAAAGAAAATGGGTTCTTCCTCTGACATTTAGATGTGGATTCGTTATAACCTGTGAATTTATTTGGAAGAGTGGGTCTGTGTTATTCTTTTTTGGGCCCATTTCCTGCTCAGTAGATGAAAACTTTGTCTTTTGTTTATCCAACAGACACAATCATTTAGGGTTGTTCATTAAGCAAACCTGCAGGTCTCAAGTGAGGTCTTACAAAGCAGTTTGTATAGCCAGAGGCAACCTGTGCCCTCAGGAGCTTTTTATCTATACAGCCAAGTTAGAAAAAAAAAATGCAGCTATTCCATTTTAGAGAGAGGGGGCCATGTCAGTGTAGCTGCTAAAGGCTGCTCATGTAATGACTGACACTTAGCAATGGGACTTTGGCTCTGCTCCTTGCCGTGCTGGTGACAAACGCAGCTTGGCTCTGAGTGCTGGTAGTATAGATATAGTACAGAAGTATGGAAGAGAACGTCTTGGGCTGGAGCAAATGCTTCACAAAGCTCTCATTATTGAGTAAAGAACTGGTGTGGCACACACAGTGAGAGCAACCTAGCACAGGCTATCCCTGCTGCAGGATGCTTAGTATTAGGGAGGATCCCTCCTTGTGCCTTACTCCTGGGATGATCTCTGCCTCCCATCTCTGCATCCCCCCTTTCCATACACACCATCCCCCTGCCAGCCCCATGGTGTAACCATGTGCTTGTTATTCTTCAGACAACCCTTCTCGTCCCTCACTGGATGTCTCCCTACGCTGTCTGTGTGCTGTACTTTAAACTATCTAGACAAGCAGAAAGAATAATTAAATGTGAAGTGTTTTGGGATGAAATGTATTAAACAAAAAGAAATTGCATAAATATGTAAATAATTGAATCCACGTGCTGAATCTTCTTAATACAATAAAGCTTTGCTCGAGATGAAATAATGGTTTAATATAAATCTGAAAAGGCTTTGACTTACTTGTTGCTTGGAATATATTGTAAAATACAAACTTCCAATAACAAGAGTTAAAATAAAACCTGGAAGAGCTTCAGGCCTACATACCTAGAGTTATTTGCCTAAGGTCCTGAATTGCAGAAGTCTAGATAGCTCCAGTTATCCTCAATTGAAAAAAATCACATTTGAAAGCTGCTTATATCTCAGTCTGGAGCCACTTGTGAGGTGCAACCAGGGCAATGTCTCCTCCTCCTCCTCACACTTTGGTAGAGGCATGGGATGTGCAATTTAGGGCAAAGAGAAAGGAAATTGGCTCTTGCTCTTCCATTCCTCACCAAATCCATACCAGTATATTGGGAGAGAGCTTGTGATAGTAAAGCCTGGCAACTAGGAATTTGGTTGGCCACACAGAAATCAAGATCCAGCTCTACTCTAGTGAGCACAGCCCCTCAACCTGAAAAAAAGCTCAGCTCTCCTGACCCATAGAAAACATTTGGAAAAGTATGTGCTCCCAGACAGGCATTTTGGGGTCTTTAAAGCTCAGGAAAGGGTCCTAGTGACTGTTCCATGGATGACCAGCCAGGGTTCTAGACAGGTAGGCTGTCCAGGGGCTGGCCACTATGGCCCAGCTTGTGCTCAAAGAGTTTGGCCTCAACCCTTAATCCAAATTCCTGTTTCTTCCCTCCTTGGCTGCTCTTTAAAACAAAACAAAATCCAATCAGGAGGAGACTGATACGAAAACCTTCTGTGTTGCATCAAGGTAATAAATCAAGACCCCTGCAGAACATTCCCCACAAATACAGCAGTTAGCACATGCAGTCTGGCGCAGAGCAAGAACATCTGTTACTCCATTTACAGTACTTTCATGTATTTTGATAACCTTGATGTATATTTTGAAAAAGCATTAGCAAAATATTTGCAGTATCTCTGTCTCGACAAGAAACATGCTGCAAGTTACATGGTTCTTGTCTGGTTCTTACCTGGTCATTCTCCTCTTCATCGCTGCTTAACTTGAGATCATCTTCTAGCATTCTGGAAAGTAAACAGTAAAATCAGTTATATTTATGAGTTAGCAAAATGTTTCGGATCTCTGAGCTACTGTAAAAAAAAAAAGTAATTGAAATAGAAAATATATTTTATGCCAATAATACTGTAGAAGTGACACTGTCTTTATAATTTTTTCTTAGCCAATTCCTATCAACTTCTTAATTCATTTCCTACAATTGGTGCCGAAGGGAAAATGTTTACTAGAGTAATAATGGATTTTGCAAAGATTATTTTTATTACAATCAACGACAAACAATTTTCGTGTGCTAAGAATAATATTTTTGATGCTGACAGGTCAGTAGTCTCTCTGAAAGGAAAATTTTGCTCCACTTGGCTTTGAGCTCACAAAACACAAGTAGGTATTTACACTGGCAGTACTGCAGTACAAAATAAGATTCACTGATGTTTCCCAAAGGCCATTTTTACTTTATTGCCTGGTTGATGTAAGATTGACATTGACTGAAACGATTAAAACTGAAATGTATTATCTCAGTGCACAGGAGTATGCACTAGGAGTTCACGGTCATATTAATATAGAAAATAATGCATCTTTTCTAATGGGGATTTCATCCTCTTTTCCCATAACCTTTCCTCAGTCTGCTTCAACTGGCTCTCAAAAAAGAGGTGTTTGTCTTTACTTGCATGCATTTTTTTTTACTAGCTAAGGTTAAGTAACCAGCAGTTAAAGGAGCTGAGGAGGTGCAAAGCTTTCCCCCAGCACTTGAAAGGTTTTCAAGAATGGGATCTATTTTTAAAAAAACACCCCTGTAATAACAATAATCATTCAGAAAGTTGCTAATTTTTCTTGCGTTCTGGGAAAAGGGAATCTGTAATTTAGCCTCAATTCCAGAAGAAAGCTTGAGGAACAATTTAAACACATTCTGTGACGTGGGTGGTCCCTGGAGTGTAAATATATCAAGAAGACATATGTAGTAATTTCAAACCACCTCCTCGTTCTTGTGCCTGGATCTTCCAAGAGTGTGCCTGAAAAGCGGGGCTCTTAAATGGGCTGCATGGTGTGTCAGGTCTGAAAAGAGTTCCAAGCCTCTCCCTGCTTCTTGAGACTGGCTGCTGTTGGCACCATGCACAGCTGTGTGCACAGCCTCTGCCCTCACAAGTGTGTCCCTGTTTCCCTGCAGCACCTTTGGAAGGATGTAGGTGTACCAGAACAAGAACAGAGGCAGAACAGGAACTCTTGTTCTCTCACCTCTTACAGACTCACGCCTTCTTTCTCCCCCTCCCCTCCTCATTTAATTGTACTTATGTTGAGATTTTTCCCCTGTAAAAGCCATACAGAAAATAAAAAAATAATCTTGTGATGCAGACACCTCAAGACACCCATTAAGCTGACAACCTTACAGCAAGTCTCTGGTGTTTCATCAGGAATTATGTCCACAGCCAGGAAAACACTCAGCAAGTGGGACAGATATCTAAAGATACCTTTCAGTATCTAACGAGAGTCTATAAGAAAGAAGGGGACAGACTCCTTAGTAGGATCTGTTGTGATAGGACAAGGGGAAATGGTTTCAAACTAAAAGTGGGGAGATCTAGATCAGATATAAGAAAGAAGTTTTCTAAGTAAGGGTGCTGAGGCACTGGCACAGGTTGCTCAGAAAGGTGGTAGGAGCCCCATCCCTGGAGATGCTCACGGTCAGTCTGGACAGGGCTCTGAGCAACCCAATGTAGCTGTAGGTGCCCTGTTCACTGCAGGAGGGTTGAACTAGATGACCCTTAAGGATCCCATCCAACTCAAACAATTCTGTCATTCTATGAGATACATGAAGGTGCTGAAATATGGGAGGGAATGCTTCCTGTAAATGTTGTAAGATCTATGTTGGCTTTGGGTCCCAAAGTTCACAGGGGATCCTTAGGAACGAATAACATTATAGTTGTTCTTTTTTTTTCTTTTTTTTTTTTTGTTTTGTTTTGTTTTGTTTTGTTTTGTTTTGTTAGATTTGTTTGGGCATTCCTGAGAAACTAGTGTTGGAAAATCTGTAAAAAGCTCCAGTCTGGAATTGAGCGTTATGTAATTATATGAGATGAAATCTGCAGGGATCGTCATTTAAGCAGAGAGATCTGCTTATTGTGTGAAAAGTAGAGCACTTCTTCTGATGTTGTTGCCCATAATTCCTTTGTTTTAGGTGCTTGAATCCCTGCTAGAAAGGTGGTAGTTTAGTAGACTGTTTAAGATTCAACTTGTTAGCTCTTCTCCTAAATGGAAGCTAAAAAACAAAGCTTATAATAAAAAGTTTTAGGTAGCTCTATGCTTACTAGTGCCTCATCTTTTTGTGTCAATCTGAAAAAGCATGTACAGTGAGCCTGTGGTTAGATGTTACTTCAAAGCTTTGAAGGCTCCAGGTTGTGTGGAAACAGGAGTGGGCTGTAGGCAAGACAGAAGATGTGTGTGCAAGGATCATCCACACAAAAGGAACAAGAAACCACAGCGCTGGCCCATTGAGCTTCCCCTGCTTGTATATCTTAGCCTGTCTTTATTTTTCTTGCCTGTTTCTCATTTTAGAAGTGCTGCTTTCCAAGAAAAGCAGTGCCTGTCCAGGGCTCGTGGCCCCTCTTGGAACTACTGTAAGCGTACAAACAATCCCCAAATACTGGTGATAGGAAAAAGCAAGTCACCATAAAATGATTTCTTGCTTGCTTGCTTTTTTGTTTTTCCCCAGAGTGGGATCAGGCCTGCCTGATCCATATATTTGTCACAAGGATGTATCAGGTTAGGAAAGCTTGCCAGACATAGAGTTCTACCTTGCAAAGGCAGGATCTGATTTCCTACTGTGCAGGAATAACTTCAGTGCCTGAATGTCCTGGTGGACTCCCAGGCTGCTTTCACTGCCAAGTCAGACCCAAAGCCCTGATCTACAGAGTACTGCTTGGAACTGGACAAACTGTTACCAGCAACCTCCATCTGTACCACAGGGCAGAACACTGGGTAGCTCTCAAAGCTCAGGCTGGACTCCCGGGGGGAGAAGGAGGCATTGGAGTTTGAGGGATGCCTGTCTGCAGGAAATGTCTTAAGGAAACCAGATCAATTTTGAGTCTGAATGCTTTTGACAAACAGTTTTGCAAATCACTTCTCCCACAACAATGATGATGGTTAAAACAAAAAGTCCGCAACTGGACCAGTAGAACCTATTTGAAGAAAGGAGGGGGACAGCAGAGAAGGAAAATATTTAAAGCTTGCAAGAAGTTATGTTAATTTTTAATTTATCTGGAAAGCACTTTGGCACAGATTCAGTAAAGAATGACCTTTGTTAGCAGAGCACTTCAGATCATGTTTAAATCAACCTCTGCTCAGGATGGAAATTCTTCATGCATGCTGCAATCCAGTAAAATGACAGACAAACATAAACAAGCTAACATGCAAACACAGCTTCTTCAACACTCTCCACAGTTTCTCCACAGTTTCTGTAATACCTCTTTCAGATTATGCAAAACCCAGGGTAGCAAATGGCATAGAATCATAGAATCAAAGAATCATTATGGTGGGAAAAGACAACTAAAATAATCTAGTCCAGCCATCACCACCATGCCCGTTAAGCTACGGCAAGATTTTTGGATATTCACTTGACTTTAACATGGTGAAGCATAGGTAAAACAATGAGTAAATACTGCTTTGTAAACAAAAGCTGGAAAAATCACGTGGTACTGGATGCATCTCTGAAAAGCACACATCACTTAGGGCTTCTGCACTTGAAGAGAGAGTGCATGGATCCGGGTAGTCAGGAAGTTACTTTACAGAACCTAATTATATACTTTTAGTGAAATCTCCATGAGGTCACAGAGGCTGTGAGGGGAGGGAGGCTTGGGCAGGAGCTCTCTCTGCTCTCTAATTAATGCGTCTGCTCCTTTATCTGCCAAGAATGTAACAGGTAGAGTAGTAATGAAAGGAAATGAGGATGAGTTCGGGATATTGCAAAATGCCACAGCAAGGCAGCTGGTTTCTTTCTCAAGGAACCAATTACAAGGTTTCAGCCATGGGTGCAGTGCCACTCGATGGGAAAGGAGGGGGGTGAAGAGGGACATATATATTGTGGGAAATAGGCAGAAAGCCGTCTAGAGGGTACTGATATCCAAGTTGTGCCCATTTCAATGTGACTCAGCATCCAAATCTCTTACATGGCGTCTCAGAAAGCCTGATCTCTTTTATCTGGGACTAATTACTATGATGGTTCCACAGGCTGACTGAGAGGCATCTAATTCCACTGCTCATCCCATCATGTTAACGAGCAGGAGATGGTCAAAAGAACTCAGGGTTTGGTATGGTGGAAGCTATGTTCAAAGCATATGGTTAAGCTGAGACTTGTGGCTTCATTATTTTGCCTTTTTATTAATCCTGATTTGTTGTTGTTGGAAAGCAGAGTCCTAAGCAAGAATTGTCTTCAGACCCAGACAGAGTCTGGGAGACAGCAGGAAGGCATCCAGTTTTCCCTCTGGGAAGTCACACTGAAGTAACATCTAAGCAGGAGGATAGAGCCAGGACTCAAGTCAGAGACTTTTGGATTTGAAAGAGCTGGAGAAGAATTTGCTGGGGAAGTTAATGGTGTGATGTCTGGCAGAGGAGGTCATCATTAGGCAGATTGGGAATCAGCTGTGACTTTTAAAATCTGGAACCAGGCTAAGACCCTTATGACACAACCCTACCTTGGAGAGTATCTGTTTTCAGTCAGTGTTAGTGGCAATGTTGGAGCAAATTTGCAGTTCTTGCAAGACCTGAGACTTGCAAATGGGTTTCATTAGGGCCTGACTCACTTTTGTTCAGAATCACTGGGTGAAGATACAGTTCTACCTGGTAGAATCTCACACTTTGTGAGGCTTGATACATTTCACATTTCTCGGCCTAATGAATCATAGAATCATAGAATCACCAAGGTTGGAAAATATCTCTAAGATCATCCAGTCCAACTGTCCATCTGCCACCATTTCCCACTAAACCATGTCCCTCAGTACAACATCTAAATGTTTCTTGAACACCC